AATAATTTATCTGCTTTATCAAAGACATTCTTCTTTTATTATTGTTACTTTTTTATTTTATTAAAGCTGGGGACAATGAGACAAGGAAGGGCTTAGGGTAGAAGAAGCAACAGGAGAGCCTAGACAGGGCTGCTTTGGGTCTCCAGAAATGTTACAGGAAAAAAATGAGCGGAGGCGGGGCTGCTGTCAGCTCTGGAAAGTCAGAGAAAAAGGGGCCTTGGAGACAGGTTGGGGGGTTAGCCCGGGGCCAGGCAGGGCTGTCCATAGCTCTCCTGGTTGCAAGTCTCATGGGCACCCTTAGAATTGAAGAGGTGCACGCCTGAGAGGGAAGGCATGGCGTGCTCCCAGGAGTGAGAGCACTAGCAAAGACATTCTTGAGTGAAACTGAATTAAAATGACCACTAGGTACAGTTTGGGGTCACCATCTTAATTCATGACAACGTGTCAGTGGATTTTCTTACCATTGTCTTTTCACTGTGGACATCACTGACAATGTCAACAGTGAAAAGGGCAAATAATCATGAAAATAGTTTTGACCACACGGATCCTGGGAAAGAGTCTTGGGGAAAAACCCTGGAGTCCATAGACCACAATTTGAAAACTACTAAATTATTCCAACACAAAGCAATATGGATGATCTTAAAAGGTAATGCTGAGCAAAAAAATAATAATAATAATAAATAATAAAAAAGAGGCAGAAAAGGCTATGTAAGATTCATTCACAAACAGGCAAAACTCAACTATATAATTATATTATTTAGGAATGTATACCTTGTTGATAAAACACACTGAGAGATTTTAAGATACTTCTCAGTAATTGATAGACCAAGCAGACAAAAATAAGGCTATAGAAGATTTAAACAATTAAAAATCTTAGTCATATACAGAATAGACCTTCAATAACAGAATATACCTTCTTTATAAACACATATAGAACTGTCAATATCTATATAAAGCAAGTCTCAACAAAAACAAAGAATGTATCATATGGACTATATTCTTTGACTGCAATGCAATTAATTTAAAAATAATAAAAAGATAGCCCTAGCCCAGTGGTCGGCAAACTCATTAGTCAACAGAGCCAAATATCAACAGTACAACGATTGAAATTTCTTTTGAAAGCCAAATTTTTTAAACTTAAACTATATAGGTAGATACATTGTTATTAACTTAATTAGGGTACTCCTAACCTGGCCTTTGCTAAAAACGTCCTCAATCTGAGGGGTCGACCTCAGCGAACATACCCCCACTTCTTCTAACGCCACTTCTTCAAAATAGACTCGCCCAGGCTGAAAACCGACTTCTGCGCATGGGCCATGAAGTTTCAATCGCACTGTACGTGCGCGCTCGCACATGGTATTTTGTGGAAGAGCCACACTCAAGGGGCCAAAGAGCCGCATGTGGCTCACGAGCCACGGTTTGCCGACCACTACCCTAGCCGGTTTGGCTCAGTGGATAAAGCGTCGGCCTGCAGACTGAAGGGTCCGGGATTCAATTCTGGTCAAGGGCACGTGCCCAGGTTGCAGGCTTGATTGCCAGTAGGGGGCATGCAGGAGGCAGCCAATCAATGATTCTTTCTCATCATAGATGTTTCTATCTCTCTCTCCCTCTCCCTTCCTCTCTGAAATCATAAAGATATATTTAAAAAAAATAATAAAAAGATAACTTAAAAACCAACATTTAGAAGTTTTAAAAGTATACTTTTAAAAGGTTCATAGATTAAAGAAGAAATCATAATAGAAATTAGAAAATATTTAGAACTAAATAATACAAATACTACAGAAAAAAACGTACGAGGTGAGCTAAAGCAGTACCAGGGGAGATATTCAGTATTTAAATGGTTTTTACTAGGGAAAAAAATTAATACTGGATGAGAAGTTGTATGTCAGGGAGATTAAATACAAAGAAAATATAAGGAAACTAAACCTGTGAATAATCAATTTTTGAAAATTGTGGACAAGATCCTCCCAGACCCCCACTTCTGCTGTGACCTTAAAACTTACAGAAAAACTCAGATTTCCCTTCTTTAAAGACCAAGGGGACCATGGTTTGAAAGCAAACTCAGAAAGTCACTCAGGTTATACTTGAGATAAGTGGGGAAAACTCAAACACAATAAAAGATACTTGCAAAGTTGTAGAAGTATTATAAAGCATGGCTACAAATAAAATGTCTTTTCTTTCACCCCTTCTTTTTATCCCACAATCTTCCCCTTTCTAGTTCCCTTCTCTCTCCTGGTTGCAGGTGCCTACAGGGTACAATGTGGGGAACGGAGTGAAGACTGGCAGAAAGAGTCTGGCTCCATTCCACAACGTTTTGGTTATGTCATCACATGGAGCCTTTCGCAAGTCACTGCACCAGGCATCATCCAAAATTGACCCACAACTCAAATCTTTGCTCACCATTACGATATGACCACAATCTCTTAGTTTTCCAGTTTTCTCTCTCCTTCATGGCCATTACCTTCACTCCAGACCCCTTTGATTTGTTTGACAAGAGAGAGAAGAGAAAGGAACTGTGCTAGCAGTGGAGACACACAGTGGTCAGGCTCTCCTGCCTTCATAGACCTGGGCAAGCCTACAAATGTGGCAAAACCAGGAAGACAAACAACCCAATTAAAAAATGGGCAAAGGACCTCAATAGACACTTCTCCAAAGTGGACATACAGATGGCTAAGAGACATATGAAAAAATGCTCAAAGTCACTGATCATCAGAGAGATGCAAATTAAAACGACAATGAGGTAGCATCTCACACCTGTCAGAATGGCTACCATCAACAAATCAACAAATGACAAGTGCTGGCGAGGATGCGGAGAAAAGGGGACCCTTTTACACTACTGGTGGGAATGCAGACTGGTGCAGCCATTATGGAAAACAGTATGGAGTTTCCTCAAAAAATTAAATATGAAACTGCCACTTGACCCAGTGATCCCACTTCCAGGAATATATCCTAAGAAACCCGAAATACCAATCAGAAAGAATATATGTACCCCTGTGTTCATAGCAGCACAATTTACAATAGCTAAGATCTGGAAAGAGCCAAGTGCCCATCAATAGACAAGTGGATAAAAAAGCTGTGGTATATTTATACCATGGAATACTATGCAGCAGTAAAAAAGAAGAATCTCTTACCCTTTGAGACAGCATGGAGGGACCTGGAGAGTATTATGCTAAGTGAAATAAGCCAGTCAGAGAAAGACAAGTATCACATGATCTCACTTATATGTGGAATCTAATTAACAAAATAAACCGATAAAGAGTGGATCCAGAGACATGGAAGCATGGAACAGAGTGCAGAATCTTGGAGGGAAGGCGGGAGAGGGTGGGTGGGTGGGAGGTGATCAACCAAAGAACTTGTATGCATATATAAGCATAACCCATGGACACAGATAATAGGGTGGGCAGGGGGACGGGGTGGGCTAGAGGGGGTCAATGGGGGAAAAAAGGGGAAATATGTAATACTTTCAATAATAAAGATTAAAAAAAATAATGGCAAAACCACACAGCCAGACAAAAATGTGGTCGCCATACATATTCTGTTATTCAGTCTCAGCCAGATCGTCAATGCTACTCTCCAATCGTCTCCTTATCTGTGGCTTATCTTCCAAACCTTCCCCATTCTCCTGGAGCCACCTTCCCAACCCTGGTGCCTCTTACTCCCTTACTTTCCATCCTACCTCATAGCAGGGGTGGGTGGGGGGAGAGAGTAAGAGAGAGACCTCGGGCTTCATTGAAATTTCTCTGGCAAAGGTCATGAATGAACTATTCATTTCTCAGATTTTCCCATGGCTAGCTCCCTCCTATCAGTCAGATTCTAGCTCAAATGCTACCTTCTCAGAGCCCTTCACTGACCTGCTGTGGAAAGTCTCCTACTTACTCTATCCCGTTTCATTCCCTGAGAGCAGTGGTTCTCAACCTTCTGGCCCTTTAAATACAGTTCCTCATGTTGTGACCCAACCATAAAATTATTTTCGTTGCTACTTCATAACTGTAATGTTGCTACTGTTATGAATCGTCATGTAAATATCTTATATGCAGGATGGTCTTAGGCGACCCGTGTGAAAGGGTCGTTTGACCACCAAAGGGGTCGCGACCCACAGGTTGAGAACCGCTGCCTTAGAGGGTGTATCACAAAGGCAAGAACCTATCCTGTCCACCACACTCTCCCCTGCAGGAGGTGCTCGGTACATATTCACCCAATAAACTAGTTCCTATGGTAGAGCTAGTTCTGATTGGTTGAAGTTCTGAATTGTGTATGAGCTTCAGTGTCACACTTCTTGCATAAAATTCTTTTCCAAATTCAGACCATTACAATGTCAACTTTTCTGTCTCCTTCTCTTCATTCTAAATCTAAGTTCTACCTACACCACCTTCTTTAAATCTTTGCCAATTGCATCTACCATCCCTTCAAACCTGTTTTGTCATTCTAGGTTTTTTTCAGGACTTGGCTTGCATTTTCCCTCTTCCTTACCCCTTATTATTTTCAATGACTTTTATATGGTCAGTGACTACAGCATCCGGATGTGTCAACTGCTAACCACAGGACAACCCCAGCCTCAATCTCACCCTGAACTGTTTCCTCTTAAAAACCTCAGTCTCATCTTTCCCATTTCCCTGCACCCAGTGAACTGGTTCTTGCCCTCCACTTTACAATTCTGGACTTACCCAGCATTTCCTACCAACTTGCTGTCTGTCTCCTACTATTAATGCACCTCTTAGTCCCATATTAAACTCCCTGGTCTTTCTGCCACATGCTTCCCCTATCTTATTATATTCCAGAGCACCACCACAAAAGTCTTCACATACCATTCAGTATATTTCATTAAAAAAAAATTTTATAGCAAAGCAAGACTTAGGGTAAGCAAGAGACTATCTTTAATAGAAATAACAGTGTTAAACAGAGAATGTGAATAGTCCACATTCTCATTTGATTAGGACAGTATGTATAATTTACATTAATTCCCAGCCACCACACTTCACGTGATTAGAGGGAATACTTACATAGATAAGTCCTGAATAGTAACGATCCTTCAGATTATGTAAAACAGAAGCTTCATTCAAGCATGTCAATTCTGCCATATCCTCCACCTTGGAAAACTTAGGTGGGTTCATCTTCTGAATATCATCTTTGTTGACCATTGCTTTCTTTCCATTCTCTGCCAACTCCACCATAACTTCATCTCCCCGCTCTTCTTTGATACTAGCTGCCTCAAAACCATGGCGTTCTGATGGAATCCACACTAGCTTTTTCGCCGTCCAATCAGCCTGTGTGGCAGGGTTGTAGATGACAGCCCTGTCCACAAAGAGATACCTCTCTGGATCTTCAAGTCCACTTCTCTGCGCCATTGTAAACAGAAGGATCCAAGAGCAATTGCCTCTATGGAAAGAGGAGGAGGATAAAGTTAGATACTCAAACATATAAAACTAGAGGCCCAATGCACGAAATTCATGCAGGAGTAGGCCTTCCTTCCCCCAGCTGCCGGCACCGGCTTCCCTCATAGCCCTGGCTTCATCTGGAAGGACGGAAGGACGTCCGGAAGGATGTCCGGTCTAAATAGCATATTATGCTTTTATTATTATAGATGAGCCCTGGCAGATGTTGGCTCAGTTGTTTGAGTATCATCCTGTGCACCGAGAGGTTGCCAGTTCAATTCCCAGTCAGGGCACACGCCCAGGTTGTGAGTTTGATCCCCAGCAGGGGGCATGCAGGAGGCAGTTGACCAATGTTTCTCTCCCATTGATGTTTCTCTCTCTCTCCTTCTCACTTCTTCTCTCTCAATAAACACACACATATAAAATTACTTATATATAAAATTCACAAATTTTACTCCTTTGGTAAACAGAAAGCATAAACTTTGAGTTAAAAAGCTGGGGTATCCCTCTTTATGGCCATATTAACTGAGTTTCCAAGGTAAATTTCAGGGTGACCACAAATTATGACTGGTTGTCTGAAGACCACTCAAGACACGCCCTCAGTTACTGAGGGCTGAAAAACAAGCAGAAGGGCAAAGCAAAGTTCTAGTTTGACTTTTCCCCCTCTTCATCTCCTCTTTCACCCTCACCACAAATTAAACAGAGAGTTAAGAAGGGAAAGGAGAATGAAGAGAAAGAAAACAAAAATTCATAATAAAAAGCCTATGGAGTGGTACCAGAATTTGTTTCACCACCAGGATATAGTTACAGAACACATGAGGAATGACAAGAGAAAGCATCGGTCTAAAGCAGGCCTCCCATTCCATCCTCAGACAACAGACTCAAAGTTCTTCCTTACAAATACCCAAGTCAGTTTCCCTATAGCTTGTCTATGGTCAGTGTGGTCTTAATGTGATCAAATAAGGCCACAGAGGAAAAACGTAACTTAGCTTCACGTAATAGTCTTTCAAGTATGTGATGGTAGCTATTCAGGTCTCCACTCCCCTTCCTGCAGCTGCTCCTACTCCCTCTGTTCCTCTTCAGCATTCCATCACTCATCAAGACTCATTCCACTACCCTGAGCTCTTGCCTCCAAACAGACTCCATGTGCTTATGCCCCTTTAGAGTGTGTGACCAGAAGCAAACATAATATTCCAGATACAGTTCCACCAGTACCACAGAAAAAGGAAGCGCTAACAACCATAGGGCCACACTAGGGAAAGCTGTTCATGTATTTCAAGACCTAATCGGTGCATTTGTACTCATTCACTGTTGGCTCAGAATGAGCTGTCAGCCAAACCTCCATACATGCTGCTCTAAGTTACCTCCCCTCCTATACTTGGGCAATTGGCTTCTTGGATCAAATGACAAGATTTTATATTCACCACTCACCTTTCTGATGAGACTCACTTATCTCCCTTACAATATCTTTTTGGAATCCAATACCATCATTAAACACTTTTGTTATTACTCCAAATTCCAGGTGGTTACAAATTTCATAAGCATGGATTCCATCCATGACTTCATCCAAATCAATACAAGGAGCCAACTGAGTACCTACTCTTGCTCTATCAAATCTTCCCAACTTCTCCCAGCCCCCGAATTGATGGGGATTCTTTATAGGCAAGATAGAAGGCTGAAAGGTTAACCATAAAAAAGCCCAAGGTTGTTAAAGAGGTTCTTAACCTTGATTCCGTAGACAGATTTCAAGCTCGAATGGTATAAGAAAGTTGTACTCTCACTTTATACATGTATGTGTGCTATTCTAAAAGGAGAACACTCAGGAATTCCTTCAGATTCTGTGCCCTAAAAAATTAATCACGGATACTACCCCTTTCACTGCTAGTGAGAATGTACTAGAATCAAATAGCTAAGATTCTTCAGAAATTATTTGTTATAAAGTAACGCATCACGAACACCCATGCTCTAGAACAGTGATGGCGAACCTATGACACGCGTGTCAGAGGTGACACGCGAACTCATTTTTTTGGTAGATTTTTCTTTGTTAAATGGCATTTAAATATATAAAATAAATATCAAACATATAAGTCTTTGTTTTACTATGGTTGCAAATATCAAAAAATTTCTATATGTGACACGGCAGCAGAGTTAAGTTAGGGTTTTTCAAAATGCTGACACGCCGAGCTCAAAAGGTTCGCCATCACTGCTCTAGAACGTGGTTCTCAAACTCTGGCATGTGCACCAGCAGCACCTACACACTGCCGGGCCCCATCCCAGAGTTTCTGATTTAGTTAAATCTGGGGTGGAGCCTAGTAACTTGCATTCGTAACAAATTCCCAGATGATGCTAATGCTGCTGATCCTGGACCACACTTTGAGAATCATTGCTCCAAAGTTCTCTGGCTGCCATGGTGAGCCACTGTTACTAACAGGTATTTGAGGGGGGGAAACAAAAAGTTGAAAACCAATGTTCTAGACTAATTCATACCAAGGTTTAAAGACTTTGCTAATGTTTTAAGGATAATAGACATGGACAAAACAAAAATCACAAAATGAAAAAACGTCACAAAACATGTAACATAAATAAAATTGCTAACCTGTTTTTTAATTAGCATTTTCCTTCTTACAGAAAATATTCATGGACACATGTACAATCCAAAGAATGGTTTCAGCCCTAGCTGGTTTGGCTCAGTGGATAGAGCATCGGCCTGCAAACTAAAGGGTCCCGGGTTCGATTCTGGTCAAGGGCACAGGGCTGGGTTATGGGCTTGATCCTCAGTAGGAAGCATGCAGGAAGCAGCCAATCAATGATTTTTATCACTGATTTCATCTCTCTCTCCCTCTCCCTTCCTCTCTGAAATCAACAATATATATATATGTATATATATATATATATATATACATACACACAGTGGGGCCTTGACTTACGAGTGTCCCGACTAACAAGTTTTTCAAGATATGAGCATCTCTCAGCCGATTTTTTGCTTTGAGTTGCGAGCTAAAATTCAGGTTACGAGCCAGCTTCAGATACCCCACCGCTAGTTGGCGCAGCGAACGTCACAGTGAACACCACAACATCAGCCCAGCATCACGTGTCTCACTCGTTCACTTTTTGATTTGACATAAGAGTAATTTGAGTTACGAGCTCCATCACGGAACGAATTAAACTCGTAAGTCAAGGCCCCACTGTGTGTGTGTGTGTGTGTGTGTGTGTGTGTGTATATATATATATATATATATATATATAATTTTTTTTTTTTAAAGAATGGTTTCAAAAGACCATTACCTCTAGGGACTACTCTATAAGATCATTAACAAGTTTTCTGTCTTTCCAACTTATATACTGCTAAGGAGGAGGCATGGCTTTGAAGTGGGACTTACCCAGATGAATTTAGAGACAATCAGACACACACTCTGCCTAAAGGACAGTCTATCAAAAACAAAAATATCCAACTCTAACAAAATATGATAAGTTATTCTTAATATTCTTTTTAGGTATTAACTGTATGTTCCATATAACACTTGGAAAACTGTCTTGCTGCCAGTTGGCACACACACATTTCTTTACTTTTACCTTGGGTATGCTTAAATTTTTTACTATAAGTTAGAATAACTGATCATTTCTACAGCAGGTTCTTTTTTTTTTTAAGTAAATTATGTATTTAAGAATTATTTTATCGAATTGTACATTTTAAATGTATTAGTACTTTTTTTGGTGGGGAAGTGCTTATAATAGTTCCTACCGATATCGCTAAGTGATTAGAGCATCAGCCCACACATTGAAGGGTCACGGGTTCGATTCCCGGTCAAGGACACATACCTGGCTTGTAGGTTCAATCCTCAGCATGGGGAAGCAACCAACTGATGTGACTCACATCAATGTTTCTCTCCCCACCCCCCTCCCTACCTTCCACTCTATCTAAAAGCAATGGAACAATATTCTCAAGTGAGAATTAACAAAACAAAAAATCCAATACATCACAAAAGTGTAATTACAAAATGTTCCCTGTTTTGTGGGTGGAAGTTACACACACACACACACACACACATATACTTTAAAAAAAGGTAACAACTACTCATGGGTCTTCACTGGGAAGTGGGATTGAAAATTTTTACTTTTCCAGAGTTTTCTACAACTAAACACTATTCCTTACTATATGGTAAGCACTCAGCCTAGTCCCTGATCCAAGGAGGGAACCTATACCTACTGACCAAATATTACATGAGTGGTCCTACCCTCATTTCTCCTCCACAACCAAAAACCTACCATTCCTTCAAATCCTGACCCAAATGACACCCTTTCACAAGTTCTTTTCAGGTCAATCTGGCAACTGAATCCTTCTCCTTCCCTTAACATTTTGTGCTGCTCTTCTGGCATTTTTCTTGCCCTCCTGTGCATTGGCCAAGAGAACTTAGCAGGCAGTAGGTACTCAAATCATTCTTTAGTTGATAGTGTTCATGAGGCCACTGAAGATTTTTTTTGTTCACTTTAATTCTTCACTTGTGATTGCCAAATATGTTGTATTTTTTTCCATTCCATTGTACATTTGGGACCCAATCTTGATAATACTGGTATTTAAAGTGAACCACTCCCAAATGCTTTGCCTTGTGGAAAGGATAATATCACAATATTTAAAATAGCAAATACTGTTGTTATATATCACTAATTATGGCCAGACACTATTCTAAGCAGTTTACATATATCAACTCTTAATCCTCACAAAAGCCCTATGAAGTAGGTACTATTTATATCTTCATTATACAGATGAGGAACCTGAGGCACAGAGAAAGCCAAAAACCAGCTAACAAGTAGCAGAGCTGGGCGTAAACCCAGAGTTCAGTTCCTGAGTTCATTCTACAACAGTGGAAGGTGACAGGGAGGGAATTTTGAAGGGCATGATGTGCACTATATACTGCCTCTCTACTAAGTAAAAACCCTATCAATTAAGGCTTCAAGAGTACAGGCTCGGCCAATAAACACACTCGCACAACCTAGGAAATGCTTTATATTTTATATA